GAGAGAGAGGGGGGGAGGAAATATCTAGGCAGGAAATACCGAAAAATTGTCATTATTTTGTTTTTCTTGCCCAGGGCTCCATGGGCTTTAAAACAATTTGCATAAATGTATAAATATACGTAGTCAAATCTAAGCCCACCGTTTCATTTTGTACTCGGTATTAGATGCTGTTTATTATTATGTCAGATAATATAGCTTTCGAAAGCTGGTATTTTTGAAAAATTCAGTAATTGTAAACGGTATCCAAATAGTGAAGCCTATATCTGGAAAAATAGTTGCAGCCGAGATGCTGAGAGAGACTTCACCAGGCAAGGCACGCTCTATCCCACACAGTGATCCATAAATATTATCAGTCACCTTGATAGAAAGAATAGCGTATCTGTGCCAGGTACTCGAAACACCGAACATTTCACTTATACTATTTAAGATTTTTGTAGTCAGTGTGTATCGTGTTTGGTCTTTTCCTGGTGTACGTACAGTGCTATCTACGTAAGCTCCTCTACAAGAAACTAATACTAGTAACCAACGGAGAAGTAGAAGCTCTTTGTAATGAATGAGGTTTTTCCAGTTTTTTGAATTTTTTTATAGTGCAACTTACATATTACATGTTCTTATCTGAACGCATATTTTTCTGTTCGTCTCAACTATTACGCTATCCGAATTACGAATAAAATGCAAATGAAATTTTGACTTAAAATAATAAGCAATGTATATACGAGACCTTGATCGCAGCTGTGTATGCTCAGCTGTTACTTGTATAACATTATTTTAGGAGATCAAGATGTACTGATACTGGCGTACATCAAACATTCATTATATTGAAAGCAATATAGAGTAATATTTCGGATTTTATATTATAATAGAAAAAATTGATCTATCACTATGCCGTGTCTCAAAAAGTTGTATCTGCTGTAAATATAACCACCGTTGCGAAACATATTAATGACTAGTTTCTTATTGTAAAACTTGTCATGCCAAGCTCGGGAAAGCAAAATATATTTATTGTAAATAACAGTTACGGATATTTGCAAACAGCAATGTATGAGTATACAAGTGGACGCTTTGTGACTGAGTACGCGGAGCTTTGGAAACGGCATGGCTGCTGTGTAAATAGTACATATAGTTATAACTAATATCCATTAACAAATAATATGATAGATCTATAAGATAATATAATGTGTTACGCTACTACAGGTGTCATCATAAGTATATAGAAAAATGTACATATTAATAAAAGACTATGTTTCACCCTGAAAAAATTATATTGCTTTACATACGATGCATCTAAAATAGCCTTGTGTGAATTTCATGGACAATAGCTTTTCTTTATAACAGGAGGAGA